GAATTCACACAAGCTAGATTTTGAGTAGCCTTAGGGTGACGAAGTCTCCTATCCCTACCTGTCAGGTGGTGAGGTGTGAGAGGCCACTAGGTGGCGCAATAGGTGGAATGAAAACCTGAGTTACAACTCTGCCAGACACTTCCTAAAGCTGTGTGACCCAGGGCAAGTCACTTGACCTCAGTCTACCTCAGTTTCCTTATCTATAAAATGGGGATAATATCACCTCCCTCCCAGGCTTTCTATGAGGATCAAATGTGATCATGTTAAAGCACGATATAAATGCAGCTATTATTTTTTTTTTTTTTTTTTAGTGAGGCAATCAGGGTTAAGTGACTTGCCCAAGGTCACACAGCTAGTACGTGTCAAGTGTTTGGTCTGAGGCCAGATTTGAACTCAGGTCCTCCTGACTTCAGGGCAGGTGCTCTATCCATATTATTATTATTTTAAGTCAATCCGTGGCTCATCTAGGAGAAGGGGGCTCCCCCGTATCCCCTCCTCCACCCTCTTTGCCCCTCCTTTGCTTCATATCCCTACCTCATCCTATCAGCTTGGGCCTGGGGTTGACTGAAGAAAGGGATTGGCGTTTTCCTGTGAATGTTAGGCCTGGTCCTCTCCCCCGGGGGATAACTAAAGGCATCTCTGCTTGGCTAAGGGATGCATGGGAGCCAGAGTCTTCCTAGGAAAACCGTATCACCAGGAGAGGGGACCCAGGAGTCCCTGGCTCTCTCTGAACCACTGCTGGTGGCTCATGCAAATCTGGGCCCTTGGGAGGCACTGGTGCTGGCTGTTGGGGAGAAGGAACAGAGAAAGCGGGCCGCCTCTGAGTGTGCTGATTGGACGCTGTCTGGGTGGTTAGCAAATGACTTCCTTTCTCTGCTCCTCTGTGACCTGAGGGAGCCGGCCTCGGAGGTCCCTTCTGGTTCTAAGTCTGTGATCTGATGAAGTTGCTTCCCCTTTCGGGACCTTGGTTTCCCTCTCTGTGAAATGAGGAGGCTGGACCGGGTAGCCTCGAACATCTCGGGACATTCAGGATGGAGGCCTCTGTGCTGACGTCCCTGTGTTCTAGGACGGGGTGGCTGTGCTTTTACAAACTCTATATTTAAAAGGAGGGGCTGTGAGAAATGTGTCCCCGGGGCCTTGCCTGGGGAGGAAGCGTGGGCCAGTCCCACATGCTTGGCCTTGATGGAACAGAAGGCCACATGTGGACCTTGTTCGGGGCTTGCCAAGCAGCTGGAAACTTGTCTGGTGGACCGCGATGCTTCCCTGTGCCTGAGCTGGGTGGGCAGATCTGTGGTAACCCCGGCCTGGCAGAGGGCATGGCCCGCCACGCGATGCCAAGCGGTGGCTGAGAACTGGGGCCCCAGTGGCAGAGCTGACCTCATTTGGTCATGGCAGCTTCCTCTCTGGAGCAGCCTGGCCCGGAAGAAACACAATGGAGCTTGTTGCTAAGCAACCTCCCCTTTGCTTCTGTGTAAAGCAGATGCTGCCAGCAGGGGATGACTGCATCCTGTCTCTCTTGCTCTCACTCCCCCTTTCCCCCTTCCCCCCTTCCTCATGGGGTGAGGAGGGGGAGGGACGAAGCGAGAGAGTGTGAAGAGATAGGAAGTGGCCTGGGGGAGGGGGCCCAAGGGCCTGGAGACTGAGCTGGTTAAGGGTGAATCTTTCAGTTAAAGACAGCTAGGATTTCCTTCTGGCTGTTTCATCCCCCAGCCAGAGTCAGCCAGAACAAAAGGGGGGGGGCTTCACTTATCTTGCAGAAGAAAAGCAGCCTTGTCGCTTCAGGTTTCCACCAGGCTCAGTCCCTGTCTTCCTGTCAGGGCGTGGAGGAAATGAATGAAATGCATGCTTCTGAGACATTCAGAGGTGCCCAACGGAGCAGGGCTGAAACACCCAGACCAGTCTCTCGGTCACCGGAAACCCAATGATTTGAGTAAGAGGCCAATGATTCCTATTAGAGTGTGGTGGTGAGAGAAGCCCCTTCACAAAACATTTACGCATTCCAGTCCAGGCGAGAAGTTGGCTGTGACTCTTTGCTAGTGATTTAGTGAAGTCGGGGAGAAGATGAAACCTCCTGAATGGGCATTAAGTGTATCAATGCTCGTTGATGTTTGAGCTCAGGAGAGAAGTGTGTCCTGTGCACGTTCACCTCCAACTTACCTTGTATATATCATCGCTGCACACGATTCATTTGTTTTCTTCTTCCTGTGTAGCCTCAGAGCTTAGCACAATGCCTGTCATCTAGTAGGTACTTTAAAAGTACTTGTAGACTGACTAGCTGTCCTTCCCCTCTTGTCCATCCCCTCTGAGTCCACAAACAAGGAAAAAAATGCTTTTTTTTATACGTAGTGACTAGGGAAACAGACATATCCTTAGTGTTAATACTTTCGTGATTTCCCCCCTTTTTTAACCCAATAGCCAAAACCCTTCCAAAACCGTAACTATGGAGAATAAAAAGGTCAACAAGCTTTGATTATAATGCTTGTTAATGGATTAATTAGCAACCATATAGAGTTTTAGGTTGTATTTGCTTTTCTGGAAGAGGATGAGACAGTCATTCAATTTATCACCAAGTCAGCATTTATTTTTTTTTTTAAAGTGGGATTTTATTTTATTTATTTATTTGGCTAGCCAGTGGGGTTAAGTGACTTGCCCAGGGTCACACAGCTAGTAAGTGTTATGTATCTGAGGTCACATTTGAACTCAGGTCCTCCTGAATCCAGGGCTGGTGCTCTATCCACTGTGCCACCTAGCTGCCCCCAGGCCAGCATTTATTAAGGCCCTACCATGTGTCAGGTGTTCTGCGAGCAGCTACTGGGGACACAACCAGGATTGTAACCTGGGACACAAAAGCGTCACTGCCTTGAGGAGTTTACAGAAGAGACTACCAGGTGTGGCCGTGAATAGAGCACTGGACTTGGAGGCTGGAAGAACTGAATTCAAATCCTGCTTCCAAAATTTACCGGCTATGTGACCCTGGGTAAGTTACTTAACCTCTTTGGCTCAGTTTCCTCACCTGTAAAATGAGGTGGTTGGATGCGGTGGCCTCTGAGGACCCTTCCTCTAAAGTCTGAGGCTGTAATCCTGTGGTCTTCACAAAGAAGTATGTATACAATCCTACGAGGTAACTTAATGCGCAGGGAAAGAGGGAGCTAATAGCCAGAAAGATCAGAAAAGGCCTCTTGGAGGAGGTGGGTGAGTCCTAAAGGAAGTGAGGAAGGAAGGCATTCCAGGCATGGGACACAGATAGCCTCTGCAAAAACACAGACTCCTCTGTGGGTACAGCTGTGAAACTCTGGGCCAGTCACTTAACCTGTCTGTGCCTCAGTTTCCTCACCTGTAAAATAGGGATAATAATAATGCTTACCTCCCTGGGTTGTTGTGAGGATCAAATGAGTTAACAGCTAGAAAGCTCTATAAAAATTCTGCTGGTGGTCATCATTGCTATTATTAGCCGTCTTCACTAACGGCAAGTTTTTCTGATTTGAGTCACATTTACAAACAGTAGGAGTCCTTCTCTCTAAGAGGGTGCTTGGCACAGTTGCATTAATCATTCAGTTGAGCCAGTATTGATTAGGAGTGGACTATGTCCAGGGCACTGCGTGAGGCACTGAGTTGTGGCTCTCAGTACCCTAAAGTACACAGGAGTGTGACAGTCAACAAGCATTTATTGAGCACCGACTGTGTGCTAGGCACTGTGCTAAGTAGCAAGGATGCAAAGGAAGACAAAAACAGGATCCCTGCCCTCAAGGAGCTTCCAGTCTCACGGGGGAGACAACGAGCCAGTCAGATACTGATGGAGTAGAGACAAGGTGGTCCCAGAGGAGAAGGCACTAAAAGCCTCTTCCTGCAGGAGAGGGAGGGTTGGAATTGAGAGCTGAAGGAAGCCTGGGAGGGAGGTCAAAAGGTGGAGGCGAAGAGAGTGCATGAGGCAGGGCCCAAGGCTTGGAGATGGGAGATGGAGTGTGTCAGGGGGCAGAGGACAGCAAGGAGGCCCAGTGTAGCTGGACTGTGAGCGGATGGAGGGAGCTCTGTGTAGAGAGAGATTAGAAGGAAGCCCCCTAGCTCTCTTCCTGTTGGGGATGTGAAATCTCTGTCTCTAACCATTCAGATGTGCCTTGCAGAGCTTGAAATGCACAGACCAATTGCTTTTTTGAGGGGGAGGTCGCTGGAAGCCTAGTGGTTTCAGTGGCATCAGGTTGCTTCTGGTAGACAATGGCAGGGAAAGAGCCCCTTTAACAGATGGTGGTTTTAGCTATAGGGAGGCAGCCAGAACTGGGAGCCCTTTTTCTTCTCTGGGAGCAGAGCACAGGCTAGACTCGAGCTGTACTGACAAGTCTTAGCTGTGGGCCCCCAAGTCCTCCAAGCTTCCAGGAAGGAAAGGACCAAGTTGTGCCCGTTCGGTTTTGATTCTTGAGGTAATAGGGAGCCCCTGAGATTCACTGAGCAGAAGGACAATGACATCAGAACCGTGCTTTAGGAAAACCCCTTTGGCAGCAGTGTGTAGGGGAAGGAGAGCGGGGAGTCTGGAGCCAGAGGGACCCAACAGTCCGGTGCGAGATCATAGTCCAGGGACCCCCATTTCAGCAGCCTGGTGCCTCCCCGTCTGTGCATAGCCCAGCCTCACCTCTGGGGAGCCTTTTTCCCATTTGGCCTTTGCCAGGAGAGAGGATTTAAGGGCCACGAGTCATGAAATATGCTTGTTGGGGATGTGAAATCTATTTCTGAGCAGTTCAGATGTGCCTGCAGAGCTTGAAATGCCTGGGCCAGGCAGGGAGACTGGCTGGAGGGCAGGGGATGGCAGCCCGAGCCGTCAGTCCGTCGGTCCTTCCCTCCCGTCCAGCCTGGGCTCAGCTCCCAGACCCAGGAGGGCCAGGGCCCCCAGCTCTGCCGTCTGGCCACCCTCTCGGCACCTTCTCAGCCAACTCCTCTCCTGCTGACTCAGAACGAAGCTTGGGAGCCGAGAGGCGAGAGGCGGAGCCAGGGCCAGCTTCTCACTGCCTTTCCTGTGTGTCTAGAAATAGGGTGGGGGACGGATCAACGGAAAGTTACTTGGGGCTGGCCCGAGCAGGGAGGCTGCGGTGGAGCTTGGGCTGAGCCTTTGGGGGAGCCAGGCGGGGGGATCCCCAGCAGGCAGACGCTGTAGAGTTTGGGTCAGCGACCTTGGGGACCACCTGCATTTGGTTCACTTCCTGGCCACGCCCCAGGTGACCGGCTTCAGGCCACAGCAGAGCCCAGATCCTTGTCCTGAGGCTGCCGGAAAACATGGAAACCTCATCGCAGTGAAGACAGGTTGGATTTTTCCCTTCTGCCAAGTAGCAAGGCTTTTCCCCTTGGTTTTCATGTGGTGGATCCACAGCCCCTCGGGCCTGCTCCCCTGAGATGAACTTGGATGAATGAGAAGAGCCAGGCCCTAGAAACTGCCCACTGCCCTCTGCCCTCTACCCTCTGCCACTCCTGCTGCTACCGCTGACTGAGGTGAAGCTTGGGCTTGGAAAGACCTCGGTCAACAGAGTCCTCAGCCATGCAAAAGAAAGAAATAGACTGTTTGAGTCCCGAGGCTCAGAAACTGGTAAGGGGAGGGAGCCTGTTACCCAGCAGTCAGGCTTGGGGTGGCTGGGCAAAGGGGCGTGGGGAGAATTGTTTTGGTTTCTGGTTCCCACTGCCGCGCAGTGCCTCCTGAACCATCCCGGTGGGAGCTGGGGAAGAGTGCCTGCTGCCGTTGGCTGGGGGAGGCTGCTTGTGGGGGGCCCTGAGGCCTCCCTCCTCCCCCCTTCCAGCCCTGCCCTCACTGTCTCCCTCTGGGTGGGGAGGGGAGCACCGCCCTTTCCTGCCCAGCCCTGGTCAGCTCTGCCCCGCTAGAGCATGGTCTTGCCTATGGAAAACACCCCAGCACTAGGAATCGAGAGACGCGGGGTTGTGTTTCCTTCTCTGTGCCGGCCGCGGTCTCGGCTCATTCATTGTGGAACCGGCCTCTTTCGCTATTTGGGTTTGTTTCCTCTTGTGTAAAATGAAGATTTCACCAGATGGTTTCTGAGGGTCCTTTCCCACGGTGGCAAGTTAGGAATCTATGAGAATGGACACAGGGCCAGTCACGTCCCCTCCCTGAGACTCAGTTTCCTGATCTGTACAAATGAAGAGTTTGGTCTAAATGTCCTTCCAGCTCCATACCTATTATCACAACTCTGTGACCTGTGGTGTGACCGTGGGCAGGTCTCTTCCCCTCCGGCCTCAGTTCCCCCTTGTGTAAAATGAGTAATTTCCCCTAGACAGCCTCTGAGGGCCCTTTCCAGCTGTAGCAAGTCAGGAATCTGAGAATGAGGGCAGGTCCCGTCCCCTCCCTGAGGCTGTTTCCTGATCTGTAAAGTGAAGGGCTGGAATTCCTTGGCCTCTGAGGTTCCTTCCGGGGGTAGCCGGGTAGGGACTCAGCCAGAGGTACAACAGGAGAAGCCTCTCCGGCCGCAGGACTTGTTAAACAGCATTTGGTTCACTTGGGACATCATGTTTTCCTTCTCAATGAAAGGTTTTTCTTTGTTCATTATATTAAAATGTTTGATTGAAAGCACCTCCATTCTGGCAGCTCCTTTTTCCCTTAGGGCCCAGGCCCATTCCCTGACAGATTTCTGCCAAACCGTTGTCACTCTGCCACTGAGCAGCCTAACTTTGGGCACACATACCAGGAAGAGATTGGAGGCAGAATGTTGCCTGGCATACCAACCACCCTGAGCCACCAGCTAGAAAGACCAGCCTGCCTGACTAACTGCTGAAGGTGGCAGGGCCAGTGGGGCGGGGGGCTCCGTGCCCTGGCTCACTTTCCCAGGCACTGATCCCATTAGGGTCCAGTTTCATAGTTGTGGGTCATTCTGGGGAAGCTGCTGCTTAGAACCCCGGGACCCATCTGCTCAAGAGCCACTGAGAATGGTCTTGGACCCCCCTGGGGCTGATGGGGGAAGGGATGGGCCTTGAGCCCTGTGTTGGTCTCCCAAGCTGGCGTTGTTCACCCTGGCTGGATTGACCACTTCCCTGTAGGCCCTGCCATGCAGATCAGTCCCTTGACTGGCTTTCTGGCCAAAAAAGGGGGGTGGCATGGGTCTTACCTTTTAATTACAAATACCAGAATTGGCAAATCTGTGAAAATCAGCAAATAGCATTACTCCCTCATTTTATAGCTGAGGAAACTGAGGCTCAGAGGTGCATTACTTACCCAAGGTTTTACAGCCTGTAATTGGCAGTAAGTAACATTTGTCCCCAATGTTGTCGTCCTTTCTGTGAACAGGCCGGCATGATGGTAGTGAAAGCTAGCCTGTGTCTCCGAATTTAAATCCTCCCAGCCACAGTCTGGGAGGGCGGAGGGGGAGGAGAGGCTTTTTTCATGGTCACCCCCCCCCCCCACCCCCCACCCCCGGTCACCGCACACCCGGTGAAAAGGAGACCCAAGAATTCATCCGAGGTGTCAAGCTTACACCACTGTTTGTTATCTGGCTCTGGGAGGTTTTGTATTGATTCCAGGGAGCTGGATTCGAGGCCCAAGCCTTCAGGCTGGGAAGACTCAGCAGGAAGTGGGGCTGCCACCCTTCACTCCCACTGCCCATCGAGGAATCCTGGCTGGCAGCAGGCCACAAACTCGAGCTCCATTTAAAACTAACATTGCATCTAAAAAGTTTTCCCAGCCCCCAAAAACTTCCCACGAGCAACTGGTGCCAAGTGGGGGGAGGGGTCATGTTTCAGACATTTAATATGTTGACCTTTGGAGCCTGGGATCTAGAAGGGGCTGGATCTGCTGGCAGCAGCTCCCCGCCCTCTCCTCACTGCCTTCAGTTAAAAGCAAAGCGAACAAGGGACCATCTTCCCCCACGAAGACCCCCACTGAAGCCGGCTGCCCCAGTGTCCCATTGGTAGGTGTCCTCATGAAGTCGGGAGAAGTTGAGGAAGGCCAGCAGCCTGTTGGGAGGGTAACGGGATGGACAGGTAGAGAGGGGTCCGGGGTCTGCAGAGGGTCACTGAGGTCCCTTTCCATTCCCACGGACCTGTTTGAAGAAAGAGCTTTTAACCTGCCTCCCAGCCATCTCTGGGTGAAGCCTTCATTACCTTTGCTCCAGCTTGAAGAGTTAATAGCTAACACGTACAGAGAGCTTTAGTTTGCGGAGCGCTTGGCAGGCATGGGCTCACTGGATCCTTACAACATTCCCCGGAAGGCGGTGGCTGTTGTTAGCTCCATTTTACAGATGAGAAACCTGAGGCAAACAGCAGCTGGGTGACTTACCCAAGGTCACGCAGCTAGTAAGTGTCTGAGGCCTCATTTGAACTCGGCTTGCACTGACTCCAAGTGCACTATATTAAAATTGTTGTTAGTAGTGACAACAACAATAATAATGATAATCTGGGTTTCCTGAGCGTAGTTTCTGTGTATGTACTATAGAGACATCTTACCCAACCCAGAACGGGAGGAACTGAAATAGTTCTCTTTAAATTTATCACACATTTGTTAAATTCCAGGCCCATGAAGCTTAATTAGGAAGGCTCAGATCTGTAGGGGTCACCTCCCTCACACATGGCATCACCATGAATTTTTCCGTAGTGGGTATTTCTGCTTGCTTTATTTATTGGAGGGGAAAGAAAGGTGATTTTCCTTTGTGTTTTTCAGTTGTGACTTTATAGGCCTAAGGTTAAAGACTTTGAAAGGCCCCAAATCAAGCAATCTGCTCTGGCATCTCTGGTCAAACAGTGTGACGTCACTGCTAAGCCATGCGCAGCCCTCACCAATACCTTTGCGTGCCACATGGTCAGGCAGTGATGCCCCTTCGGCCTAACAGGCTCAGAGGTGAATGCGGGGTAGGATATGCCTCTCAAAGTTTGACCAGGCATATTCCCAAAGCTCGGAGTACTAGAGAACAATGTTAGGTCTCTCAGCCTCTGGATCAGGAGAATGCTAAGGTTTTCAAGAGGAAATTCAGATAAGGGATCCTGGGTTATACAGGGCAGTTGTTTTTCACTTTTCAAGTTTGGTTTCTTTGTAATTAAGACCCAGGTGTGAAGGCAGCAGTGGATGGAAAGGCTCCATGTTAGGGCTCCGCTGGGCATTTTCTCTATTTCCATCAGATAGATTGGGACTAGCCATTATCTGATGTAGGATAGAGGGAAAAAAACGTGTCTCTGCAGACCATTTCTCTAGATATCATTGGATTGGGCAAAGGGCTGGTTGTTTAAGTGCTATATAATTGGATTTTTAACATCTCTTTATATGTTGGTTGGAAACCTTAGGAATCACTGAGTAAAGTGGGAGCGTGAGTTGGCTGGGAAAGAGCAAAGCTTGGAAATCTGGGTTGGATTCCTGCTGCTGTCGCTAGCTGTGAGGTCCTGGGCAACTCCCTGCAGGGCATTGTGCCTCGGTTTCCTCATTTGTCAAGGGGAGAGTTAGGAGACTTTACTAGCTGGCTCATAGGTTTGCTGGGAGAGGTGTGCTTTGTAGACCTTTAAAGAGCTGGGGAGAAAGGAGCGGCAGTTTGGTTCAACCCTCTCAGGTTACAGGCCCTGAGTCCTGACCTGGAGGTCATCACTGTCACTTCAATCATCTCTCTGCCTTTCATCTAAAATCTCTCTTCTGGATCCTTCCCTGCCACCTACAAGCATTCCCTATCCCCAGGTGTCTCCCATGCTTAAACGCACCCCCTCCCCCCCAGCTCGGGCTCTCCTTCCTCATTTTTACAACCAACGTTTTGGAGAAAGCCTCTATGGTCTTTGTCTGGGCCTTCTTATCAGCCCCTTGCGATCTGGCTTCTGACTTTGCCAATCAGCTGACACTGCCCTCTCCGTGGTTACTAGTGACCTCAGCATTTTTGAAATCTGCTGGCCTCATCCCTCCTGACCTTAAGGCATTTGGGCACCCTGTCCTCCTGGGCACCCTTCTCCTCTCTGGGCTTTCTGGGCACCAGACTTTTGTTTCTCTCCCTCCCTCTCTGACTGCTTCCTCTCTGTCTCCTCTGCTACATTGCCATCACTGTTCTGTACCCCACGTCTGGGTGAACCCCAGGGCTCCAACCTCGAGATGTTTCCTCCCTCTCAGCAAAACCATCGTCCGACACGGGTTCAGTTATCATGTCCAGTGCTGGTTATTGAAGACTTCCTTTGTCTCTGTCTCTGTCTCTGTCTCTGTCTCTGTCTCTGTCCCTCTCTCTCTCTCATGCTCTCCAGAGCCACATCACCAGCTTACCTTGGCTGTTGGACATATCTGCTCGATAGGCATCTCAGATACAACGTGACTCAGACAGAAACTCAGTATCACCCCGCTCTTAGGAGACCTCTTCTCCTAATTCACTTATTACTATCCAGAGAAGCTTCAGCCCTCAAACTGCCCACGTTCCCAGCTTCACAGCCATGCTGGTCTCTTCGTTATGGCCCCTTCGTCCTCCTATCCCAGGCTGTTGTCAAGTGTTATCCATTCTGCCTCCATTACATCTCTTACTTCCATCCCCTTCTGTCCACCTGTCACTATCCAGGTTCACCCTCATTCCCTCTGGCCTGGATTAATTGGCCTCCCTACTTCCTGTCTGTTCTCCACAGTCCAACCCCCTC